GCATCGGATCAAGAGAGCAGCTGCTAAAAAAATATATGTAATGATAACAAATATTTGAAGCTGCTGGTGCCTCTAGAGTCCCACGGACATCAAGGTGTAGAGTCAGCCAGAGTCTTGCAACTGTGCATAAACCTTCTATTGGGCCACCACTAACCAATGCTCACAAGCAGAAACGGCTGCATTGGGCAAAAAAATACATGAAGACTAATTTTCAAATAGTCCTGTTCACTGATGAGTGCCGTGCAACCCTGGATGGTCCAGATGGATGGAGTAGTGGTTGGTGGACGGCCACCCTGTTCCAACAAGGCTGCAACTTCAGCAAGTCGGTGGTGGAGTCATGTTTTGGGCCGGAATCATGGGAAGAGAGCTGGTCGGCCCCTTTGGTGTCCCCGAAGGTGTAAAGATGACCTCTGTAAAGTATGTGGAGTTTCTAACTGACCACTTCCTTCCCTGGTACAGAAGGAAGAACTAGGCTTTCCATAATAAAATCATCTTCATGCATGACAATGCACCATCTCATGCTGCAAAGAATACCTCTGCATCAATGGCTGCTATGGGGATAAAAGGAGAGAAAGTCATGGTTGGCCTCCATCCTCCCCTGACCTCAATCCTATTGAGAACCTTTGGAGCACCCTCAAGCAAAAGATCTATGAGGGTGGGAGGCAGTTTACATCCAACATCAGCTCTGGAAGGCTATTCTGACATCTTGCAAACAAATTCAAGCAGAAACTGTCCAAAAACTCACAAGTTCAATGGATGCAAAACTTGTGAAGCTGCTATCAAATAAGGGGTCCTGTGTTATGTAACATGACCTGTTAAAATGTTGTTATAAGATTGATTGAAATAGCTTTTGATTTCAGTAAATATGCTGCAAACACAACAAATGACAATTTTCAGTCCTTTACAACCTATAAAGTGTTTTGAAACTTACTGTGCGTAATAATTCGGAACAGTGCATTGTAAGTTTTTTATGTTTCAAAAAATAAAATAAAAAAAATACTGTTATCATTAGGAGGTTTGTTCAATAAAATTTGAATTGTACTCTTAATAGATGATAACATGATAATTATGCTGACTTATTTACATCAATTATTTAGGTAAATGAGAAAAATATAATTTGCATAATAATTTGGAACAGGGTGTAGCGAGGAGATCAACAATGCGATCTCACCCCTCAAAGGGAACAAAGCCCAGGGCCCAGATGGTTTTGATGGCGGATATTATAAGGTGTTTCGTGAAGATCTGACTCCTAAGATTGAACTGCTCTTTAACGATTTTCAGGATGGCGGGGTCCCGGATAGGGACATGTCCTTGGCTACAATAGTCCTGATACCAAAACCCGACAGAGATCCCTTGTTGCCAGAAAACTATCGCCCCATCTACCTTATCAATCATGAAGATACTGACCAAGATACTGGCAGACAGGTTGAACCCTCTTTTAACAACATTAATCAATGCGAACCAAGTGGGTTTTACACCCAAGCGCCAATTGTATGAGAACACGCGCAGAAACGTAGACAAGTTACAGTCAAGACTCCTTCGTTACTGTTCTCCCTTGATGCCGAGAAGGCCTTTGATAGGGTTAACTTGCCCTTTTTAATCGGTCTCCTTGGCCTTCTGGGCTTCCCACCGCCTTATCTCACCATGGTAAGAGCTATGTACAGCAACGTAACCGCACGTGTCCATGTCCCAGGAGCCCCGAATATGCCCTTTTTTCCATTGGGAAATGGCACGCGGCAGGGCTGCCCGCTCTCCCCACTGCTGGTTGTGCAGTCTCTGGAACCCCTTCTGCAAGCTATCCGTGAACACCCAGATATTCACGGAACCACGGTCGGGGGTACACAATTTTTTGGTTTCGGCATTTGCAGATGACATTCTAATATCACTTATCGATCCCGTGGAGTCTATGGCAGCACTCTATAAAGCGAACATGAATAAATCTAGCGGCATCCCCCTAGAGATGTCGACAGCAGACATGGCACACATCCAATCCACTTATAGCATTCAGATGGCACAACACTCCCTTAGGGACCATTTAACAGCTGATCCCTCTTAATTATACGAAATGAACTATAGACTCCTAATGAAAACATTGATAAGAGATATGGAAAAATGGATGGATAAGCCAATCTCATGGATCGGTTGTGTTCACTCCGTGAAGATTAACATATTGCCACATATTCTATTTCTATTCCAGGCCCTCCTAATTACGGTTACGAAAACTGATTTAGCACTCCTACAAAATGCAATAGGGTCTTTCATTTGGCAGAACAAGAGGCACAGGGTCTCTAGAAATGTCCTCTATCACCCTAAAACGAGGGGAGCTCTAAGGCCACTTCATCTCTACTATTACCTGGCAGCGCAGCTTACACAGATAGCAATATGGTATGTACCGGTGGATGTTAGGAGATGGGTCGACTTGGAATCCCTAATGACAGGAGCGGATGTCCCCCAATACTACATGTGGGTTCCTAGAAATAATAGAATAATATTACGGTCCACTTGCCCGGCCATACTTAACTTCCTCAGAATATGGGATGAGACAGCGTCTAAATTTGTCCTGTCTTCCATCCCGTCCCCAATCACTCCCCTGCTCAGAAACCAGGTGTTCCCTCCAGGTATGTCGGCCCAAGATTTCAAAAATATAGAACGGGCAGGCCTTCAGAGATTTTGTCATTTATATGAGGGGGGCCAGATAGTGTCATTTGAGATCCTTAAGACACGCATTAGACTCACCCCGTCTGACTTTTTTTGATACTTACAGATTAGAGACTTACCCTCCCAGAGAAGACTTATAACATTATTGTACGCCTACCTGTGTACGGAAACTAATGAATGGGGCAACTGACTTACATTTCCTAATGGGAGGCAGACTCGGGTGAGGCGCTGGAGGGCATCGACTGGCAGGATATCTGGAAAGCGGCTGCTTCTTCCTCCATTTGCTTCACGTTGCAAGAGCAATGTTTTAAGACTATGTTTTAGTAGTACACTACACCGGTGAAACTATTACATGAATCAAACTCCGACTGACTTGTGCTGGAGGGGCTGCGGCCTCAAGGGCACATACCTACAAATTTGGTGGGAGAGCCCCTAGATCAGAACAGTCCGCAATAGGAGACGTTTTGGAAAAACTTTTTCACAGACCACCGGACCTAACCCCATGGGAGTGCCTCCTGAATAGGTCAATAGAAGGGTGGACTGGTACAGAACAAACTTGATTCAGAGAGTCACTTTGGGGGCCAGATGAGCCATAGCTCAGATTTGGTTAGAATCTACCATTCCCTCTGTCTCCCAGGTCCTTGATAAAGTTAAGGACAATTGTCTGATGGACAAACTGACAGTGCAGGTGAGAAACACAGTACACAAATGAGAAAGTATGGGAGCCTTGGAACTCAAGTGACTTTGGAGACTGAAGTGGGACGCAAGTGGGGGTCGGTAGGGAGCAGAGCAGAGTCCTCCCCTCCTTCTCCTCTTCCCCCTCTCTAACAAGCAATCAATACACACTATTCTATCCTTCTCTATTCCTGTGTAGGCTCTCTAACACATCTTCCATGAGATTCTGTGTCTCTGCATAGTTTAGAATACTTCTCATTCGGTTTTACGGACATATGAGAGATTAGCTTTACCAAGTGAAGTTGTAAACATCAGATCAGGGTCTTCTACAGTGTCACGCCATCCCCCCAAGGCACGGAGGCATGTTCCAACAGTGCCACTGGTCTTTCCTGTCCTCTCTCTCTTTTCTACTAATTCTCTACTGTATCTCACAGATTAAAAAAAAAAAAAAAAAAAAACTTTTGGGCTTCTGAAGCATACTGATAACAGAGTGAGTGTACAGGATCATAAGGTGAATTTAAGAAATACTGTTGAGTTGAATAGCTTGACCGTGACACGGCTCAGGATGCCATGTTATGTTACATTATCATTGTACTATTTGAACATATATACTATATACTATATACTGCTTTGTTATGCTTTTTTTTACCAAAAAAAAAAAAAACACAGTTTGGTTTACAGAGACAGATTTTGGATAATTTAAACATTAAAGTGATGGAATCAAATGTTCAAGATTTGAACTCACAAACGTGGTAGAACATAGGCAGATCTAATACTATACAATTATTAATGGGTAAACAAGTTAAGAAGTTTGCTCAACTTCAACAGGAGTATGGTTTGAATAATAGGGAAATCTTCTAATAATTGAGAGTAAAACATTTTTTGGAGAGATTTGTGGTAGACAGAAAGTAACAAAAGTAATGTCTAAAGCATTCAAATGCATATGTATCAAATATAAAAATACTGTTCGAGAAATTAGGGAAAAATGGGCGACAATATTGAGTATCAAGTTTAATCAAGAAGAATGGCTTGATGCAATTAAACAATATAACGAGTTGATGCACTGCACTAAGATTTCAGAAAACCAGTTTAAATTAATACAATTTTGGTATTTAGTACCTACCCGGCTGGCAAGATTCTCTCCTGTAAACTCTTATAAATGTTGGAGAGGTGGGAAAGCAGAGGGGAGCTATCTTCCTATTTGGTGGAGTTGTGAATTAAAGGACCACTCTAGGCACCCAGACCACTTCAGCTTAATGGCTGTCTCATTGATAGCCACTAGAGGCGCTTGCGTGCTTCTCACTGTGAAAATCACAGTGAGAGCACGCCAGCGTCCATAGGAAAGCATTGTAAATGCTTTCCTGAACTTCGGCGAATCTTGCGCGCAGCTCAGCGCGGCGTCGCGCAACGGCAGGAGAGAATCGGAGGCGAGGAGAGGAGAGCTCTCCGCCCAGCGCTGGAAAAAGGTAAGTAGCCCCCCTTCCAGGCGGGCGGAGGGGACCCTGAGGGTGGGGGCACCCTCAGGGCGCACTATAATGCCAGGAAAGCAGTATGTTTTCCTGGCACTATCCTTTAATAAAAAAAATGTGGCAAACTGTTGAGAAACTATTCCAGCTAGACAATATTAAATTAGATAATAAACCTGAAATTGCTTTACTACACTTGAAATGGCAAGCATTAACCCCTTAAGGACTGAGCAAGGGGGCGGGGCTTGCTACCCGACACGAGCGGAGGCCATTTTCCACAGCTCCCAAGCCCTGCGGATAAAATCCATTAAAATCAGCCTTCCTCTGACCCATCCTACCTCGCCACACGCACTATCGGCATCAGCACAACGAGCCACGTCTCCCGATGCCTTTTTTCCAACCGCAGCGGCAGCAGAAACGGAGACGCAAAATCGGGGCCTACTACACCCCAACGAGCCTAGGCCTCGAGGACCTGTTGCGTGGATACCCGGCCGAGCACACAGACACCTCCTGCACCCCGGACCCATCCACAGCTCTGACTCATATGCCGGCAATGGGACGCAGATCACAAAGGCCACAAGGTACTGCTGGGGGCAGGGATATTGGGACTATGCTCCAAAAGCCTACCCAGCCCAAACCCAAAACAGCGGCAGAAACGCTGGAGGCTACCCAGGCACCTACCACACCCCAACAATGGCAAGAACCGCCGGAGCCCCCACAGACCCCCAAAACAGGAGCACAGGGGCCAGAACTTACTGGGCAGCACCAAAATCAGCAGCCGCATACCCGGGCTCCACAAGGCCCTGACTCCCAGGGACACCCATGGGCAATACAGCCTGAAAGGGTACACAATCCACCACAAACCGGACCTGACGAACAAGGGCACTTACAAGCACCACTACAGCCACTGTTGGAGTCTCCGGATGACTCTGCACCAACCACTAAACGTGACTTAAAGCTTCTTCTGGCAGACATCCATAAGCTCCTAGCAGCTGACTCAGCCCTTCTGAGGACCGAACTGCGCACGGTCACGGAAAAGGTGTACACCACAGAGGCAGAAGTAGTGATGGTACATGCTCACATAAACACGATGGAAGACACCATCAAACAAATCCAACAACAACAAACGTACCTGTCACTCAAAATGTCAACCATGGAAGATCGACAACGCCGCTCACACATAAAAATCAGGGGCATCCCTGCAGAGATATCAGCCGAAGAGCTGCCGCATTACACCAGACGCCTACTAGCTACAGTACTCCCACACACGGCAGTGAAGAAAATGATCATAGATGGGGTATACCGCTTGCCTACCCCTCCCCACCTAAAGACCCCAACGGCCAGAGACGTCATCCTCAGATGTGTCACAGTACAAGATAAACTACACATAATGGCTGGGCTGAAAGGCAAGACACCGCTGCTGTTTGAGAACTCTTCCCTGACGTTCTTCCAGGACCTATCAAAGGCCACCCTCATGTGGCGAAAATCGTATGGACCGCTCACCACACAACTCCGAGCAGCGGGAATTGCATACAAATGGGGCACTAACGGGACTCTGGAGGTATCCCAAGAAGGCACTACCCATGTCCTAACCTCCGTGGAAGAAGCACCTAATCTCCTAACCGCTTTGAAACTACCCAACCCGATGCTTCCACCACGAAAAAGCCCGCAACTGGAAGTCCAGGATCCCAGGAACAACGCCCAGTCGGAACCGAGACCCAGCGGGTCACAACACCCTGTACCATGACTGAAGTGGACTGACACCGCAGGCTTTGCCACCAGGAATGGTGCACACATATTTTGATTTCATTCCGTGACTTTATTTACGTTTTATACTATTCATGTTTTATACTATTTACTACTTACGTTTTACAATATTTACTATTTAGCCTCCGCTAACAATTCCCAAACACTACAGGCCATTGCCACACCCACCCTCTCTACGCCACTGAGAGCCAACATATCACACGTCCAACCACAGAGCGCCTGACAAATCACCCCCCCCCCCCGCAGCCCCCTTGGTTAGGGGTAATCAACCCAAAGCACGCTATCTACGACAAACAGCTCACCTCCACTAACGCATGTAGACACCTATACTCAGCACAACACAGCGAGTCCGACCATGAAACATGGAATTGACGCAACCTTGCTACTACATGACTCGAAAACCTACTCAATCTTCACATAGGGTCCCATCACCACCAGACCTACTCTAGACAGGAGCTACTGATTGAAAGCAAAGTCCTATCCCAACACAAGAACGCACAAAACATCATAACACCTAAATAATGAATACTGTTTTGTTTTAACATGTTACTGTTGTTTAAAATTATTGCTATTGCTTGACCCAAAACGGTGCAAACTATGAACGGTACCGAACCTCAACTTTTTAACAATCTGTACAATCTAAATGTTGCACCAAAAATGAAAAATAAAGAATTTAAAAAAAAAAAAGGACTGAGCCAAATGTACACGTTCAAAATCAAAACAAAAGGTAAACAAAACCTGGAATTTGCACTATATGTCTGTTCAGGCGTAATTCACCTCTTTCGAATTAGGGGCACCCACACTTATTATAGATAATTTTATTCAGGTGAAACAGGGCTTTCATTTAACATCACATATTTAGGTATGAAACAATTTAATATGAATAAAATAAAGAAAAATGGGAGAAAATAAGAAATTAAACATTTTTAGTTCTACGTGACATTTTAACTGTGAATGTCATAATGCGGTTTGCTTTTACTGCAATAAAATACACATATTTGTATTCAGCGATGTCTCACGTGTAAAACAGCACCCCCTATGTACAGGTTTTATGGGGTTTTGAGAAGTTACAGGATCAAATGTAGCATGTTAAATTTTTCATTTTTTTCACACTGACATTCGCCAGATTGGTTACGTTGCCTTTGAGACCGTATGGTAGCCCAGAAATGAGAATTACCCCATGATGGCATACCATTTGCATTAGTAGACAACCCAATGTATTGCAAATGGGATATGTCCAGTCTTTTTTAGTAGCCACTTGGTCACAATCACTGGCCAAAATTAGTGCGTGTGTGAAAAATGCAAAAAACTAATTTGAACGCCAATTTTGGCAAGTGTTTTTGACTAAGCGGCTACTAAAAAAGACTGGACATAGCCCATTTGCAATACCTCGGGTTGCCTACTATTGCAAATGGTATGCCGTCATGGGGGTAATTATCATTCGTAACGTAACCAATCTGGCGAATTATAATGTGAAAAAACTGAAACCCAAGCCTTATATTTGACTCTGTAACTTTTGAAAACACCATAAAACCTGTACATGAGGGGTACCGTTATACTCGGGAGACTTCGCTGAACACAAATATTAGTGTTTCAAAACAGTAAAACGTATCACAACAATTATAGCGTCCGTGTAAGTGCCATTTGTGTGAAAAATGCGAATAATTTCACTTTAACTGACGATATCATTATAATACATTTTACTATTTTGAAACACTAATATTTGTGTTCAGCGAAGTCTTCCGAGTAAAACAGTACCCCCGATGTATAGGTTTTCTGGGGTCTTGGAAAGTTACAGGGTTAAATATAGTGCTAGCAAATTAAATTCCCTGGACTTTTGTCCTGTGTTGCCAGGCAGGTCCCGCAAATTGTAATTAATAAAATGACCTAATTATGTAAAATTATTACATAAATATATATGTAGCATTATTATATATATTTATTTTTTATTTTTTTATTTATATATAGGGATATATATATTTTATTTCGTTCTACATGTATTTTGAGATATATATATATATATATATATATATATATATATATATTAATTTTAAAATACAGTTAGAACGAATTTACACATATATATTTTATTTATTTTTATTTATGTACCTGCGTGTGTGTTTCTGAGCGAGTGCATATATGTGTGTGTGTGTGTGTGTGTGTGTGTGTTTGTCAGTCTGTGTTAGTGTCTATCTATGCATGTGGCAATGCATTCATCCCAGCATTCCAATGCTTACACTGCACACACATGTGCTAACAATGCACACAAATACATCCCTGCATTCCAACACCAACACTGCACACAAATACACTCCTGCGCTCCAACAACATTGCACACAAATACACCACTGCATGTGTATCTGTGTTCCTGTGTGTATCTCAGTGTTTGTGTAAGTGTGTATCTGTGTGTATGTGGCAATGCATGCATCCCAGCATTCCAACGCCAACACTGCACACAAATACACCCCTGCGTGTGTACCTGTGTATTTGTGTGCATCTGAGTGTGAGTACATATATGTGACAGTGTTTCTCTGTGTGTGTGTGTTTATCTGTTTGCGTGCCCCAGTATCAAAGTGTGTGTCTGTGTGTCAAAGTGTGTATCTGTTTGTGTGCCCCAGTGTCTGTATCAAAGTGTGTCAAAGTGTGTATCTGAGTGTGCATGTGCTAGAGTGTGTGTATATGCCAGTGTCTTTATGTTAGTGTGAATATGTGTTAAGGTGTGTGCATGTATCAGTGTGTTTGTGTGTGTATCAAGGTGTGTGCATATGTCCAGGTGTGTTTGTGTGTATCTGCATGTCAATGTGTTTGTATATCTGTGTTAGTATGTATATGCATACATCCAAGCAATCAAACACACTGCTGCAAACACAATTACTATATACACACACCCCTAATTACAAACTTCAAAATGGTATACAATTGTATACAAACACACCATTCACCCACACCAATACTACACACACATGTACATCTGCAGTTAAAAGACAACACTTCATCCAAACACACCCCTGCATGCAATTACAAACTTTACATACAAACACAAAAATTATATACAAACAGCAACTCTATACACAAAGGTACACCTGCATTTAAAAGCCAACACTACATACAAACACACACACCCCTGCATTCAAATGCAAACACTACACACAAGAACACCACTGCATCCCAATGGTAACAGTACATACAAATACACACCTACATGCAGGGCCAGACTGGGAATTAAAAGCAGCTGGAAAAAAATATTTACCAGCCCCATAATGCGTCGCGCCAGCATAGTGTGCAGATACAGAGTTAGAACAGATAACTTAAAATTAAAAAGTACTTCAACGTAAAAAGCGCACTCATAGGCTTCAAAATAAACAAAAGTGCAGATTTATTTTAAGCAGACGTGCCTTTGCATGTAATCAATGTTTCAGTCCAACTACCTTGACATATTAAGGAAAGCTTGTTAATGGGACTGAAATGGTGAATGTATGTAGGGCACATCTGTAAAATGTTATTTTGAAGTCTTGTGGGTGTGCTCTTCACTTTAAATATGTTATTGTGCTGGAGTATACACCTAGCAACAAGACTGGGCCAATATCTGCTCATTACATATGGTACATATTAATAAAATTTCTCTGTGTATTATGCATATATAAATGTACATTCATATATATAAAACTAATATACACATTAATATACATGTCATATACCAGTGATGGATCCAGAGCCTGAGCCCGGGAGGGGCACGTGTAGATTATTTAAAGAAATATTCCATGCACAATAACCACTACTCCTCTGTGTAGTGGTTATGGTGCCAGGAGTGTCTGCACCCCCTCCCAGAGTAAGTAGTCGAACCGTTTAAGAACAGTTTGACAACTTACCTGGAGTCTGCTGGGATATGGGGCTGTAGTAGGGTATAGGAGCAGTGGTGCAATGTGTGTGAAAGGTTCAGTATGTGAATGTGTACGGTGTGTGTGTGGGCAGTGTGTATGGGGCTAGAGTTCACCCTCATGAGAGCCGGAGCGTTGCCCCTCTGAGTGCCACCGGACCGG